TTCATTGTCTTGCATGTTGACATAAATAAGTAGAATGTTGATATAATTATCTAGTATGTTCACAGAAATAAGTTGCAATATTCAAAATTATCTTCCTTCTGGACATAAATAAGTCGCTTATCTACGTAATTATGTTGCATATTGCATCTATGATGTCAAATAGAGGCGTTAATAAGTATGGTGGCATATTTCTGCCCCTTGTGTGCAAGTTATTTTTCTATCAAATATTTCGACATGCAAGATAGTTATGTCAACATGCAATATAAATATGTTGACATGCAAGAAATTTGAAACCAAATTAAAATCATAAAAAATCTCAAATATTGCCCACATGTGACATCCAACATGCTAGATGCTACTCATTTATGTTTATATGCAACTTAGTTACATGTATGTTAACATGCAAAATAAATATGTTGACATGCAAATTATTTATGTTGACATGCAACTTATTTATGTTGACATGCAACTTATTTATGTTTACATGCAACTTAGTTATGTTGACAGGCGAGATAAATATGTTGACATGCATCTTATTTATTTCAACATACAACTTATTTATGTCGACATGCAACTTAGTTATGTTGACATGCAACTTAGTTATGTTGGCATGCAAGATGAATATGTTGACATGCAACTTATTTATGTAATCATGCAACATATTCATGTAAACATGCAACATATTTATGTCGACATACAACTTATTTATGATGGCATGCTGTTTGTTTGAAAGAGGGTGCAGTTTAATTAAAATCTGTGTTTGCAATAAATGAGAAGCTTAACCTCTGAACGTTCATCTGGTCTCTTCACAACTTAAAAGGTAAAACTTTGTTTTAGATCTTATATAAAACTGATATTGGATGTAATGGAGATCTTTTGGTTGATTATTCTGGTAATTTGTATAATCCTTACTGATAGTTATTCTTGATGTCAATATCTCTTTTGGTCAGAGTGCCCATTTCTTAAATAATATGTGTACTTCATGTTGCTATTATTTGATTAAACATAATACTTTTAGGTTTTCACTATCTTCAGTGGTGAATCCAGTAATCTTAAAAAGGGGGCCCGACCCAGTTTTGGTCGGGGTATGGGTCCAAGACCACACTAAAAAAATTGATTTATTAAATCTAATGTGTATTTCGGACACAAAAGGGGGAGCCCGGGCCCCCTGCTCCCTCTAAACCCGTCAGTGCTATCTTACATAAGTTTAATTGAACTGCATTTTTTTTATGTAATAAACTCTTACAAGCCAAATCGTGGTGTATTTATAGAAGTATTTTGTTTGATGTAAATTTACACAAGTAGAAAGCAAAACAAAAATTCATTGTGTATAAAGTATTTTTTTCCCATTTTTTTCAGCGACAAAAATACAATGGGTGAAAATATTTATACACCTGCTCTGGCTCAACGTTTGGTTGTGGACGGACTACCTCTCAGCAGGAATGGAATGATTGCTGTTTATTACCACTCTGGTTATACTATTTAGGAAATCATTGGTTTTCTTGCAAACAGATATAACATTACTCTCAGTGCAAGACAAATTCATCAAGTTTTAAGGGAAATGAATCTGCAGAGAAGAAACAACCAGCCGCGTTTAGAGGACATTGTAACGGCTATTCTACATGAACTTTCAGGCTCGGGCGGTGACATAGGCTATAGAGGAATGAGGATACGTCTGCTAATCGACCATAACCTTAATGTGTCTTGTGAATTAGTGCGCCTTGCATTAACTGTTTTGGACGCAGATGGTGTAATAAGGTCTAGACAACGTCGTCTTCAGCGTCGTAGAAGGTACATTTACGAAGGGCCGAATTTTTGTGTTCATCTAGATGGCTGGGACAAGTTGAAATCATTCGGAATTTCCATTCATTGCTGTGTAGATGGCTTTTCAAGACGTATTCTCTAGCTCAGAGCTTGCAATTCTAACAAAAGCCCTGAGTATATATCCAGATTTTATATAGATTATATCAAGGAAATGAACGGGGTTCCTGTAGTCGTATACGCAGACAGGGGTACTGAGAACTCCATAGTTTGTAATTTGCAATACGCTTTGCGATGGAATCACCGGGATCCCTTGCAAGGACTATCAAGTTTTAGGTATGGATCTTCATATAGAAATACAAGAATAGAGCGATTTTGGCGGTGTTTACGAGAAATGAGTGGCAATTTTTGGATAAATTATTTTAAGGATATGGATAATTTAGGTGTTTGACTCTTGTCGTTTGAAGGAGGTACATTTTTTCTCTATGTTCCGAATTATGTTTGATAAAGGACTGATAAATTGTATGTTTGCCAGGCTTTGTGTATTTAATTGCAAATGTGTATTACTAGTAAAGTATATATATAAATAGTACATAATATATTTTATTGTTATTTTTTTAATCTGCTTTAACTGTCAAAGTCAAAAATCATAATAAATTCAGAAAATTGTTAGGATTACTGTTTAGTGTTGAAGTAAGAGTACAAAAGTTTATTTTCCTATAGAATAAAGAATGCATTTGGTCAGCAGCTTTTTTTGTTTTTTTATAACTAGGCCAAACTTTTAATTCATTGTAAAAAAGAATTGTTCCTTTTTAAGAGGGCTGGGTGGTTGTGGCCATTTCCAGACTATATTGATCTTCTTTAGAAGAAGAACTCAATATAAAGATATACAAAAATGTTTAAATTTTTAAACTAAAATGTATGAAAGTTTTGATTGCCAAATGATAGTTGAAAGCTAAAGATATCGTATCTAAAAAAAATAAGTTATATCTGATGGTTAATTTGTTGACTCCCCAGCCTCCTTAATGAAGTTGTCATAGGTAATGCACCTGTAAATAAAAGCTCTAGATCTCTTCTCCCTCATTCACAGCATACCTACTTGACATTAAAAAGGACATTGTTACGATTTTTCTCACATCTTATATTCCCATTTTTTATGTTTAAAATACTAAATTAGTTAACTGATCTTCATACCCTTTATTCTTAAACTGTTGCATGTAGAACTTCACTGAATTTATGAATCATTGAGATGTCTACCATCACATAGGGCCCCACACAAGTAATGGACAATAGGATGAAAAACATTTCAGAGAATTTTGCTTTGACCTTGACCTATAACTTATAAATTGTCCAGTTGTCATAAAACGTTTATTTCAGTCTCATTACCCCTTTACCTAAAGCCATTTATTTTTTGTTCTGAACAAGTTTAAGCAAATGAAAAATAGTCAAGGCCACTGTACACCGTATGACAACAGGCACTCTGTGGAAGTATGAACCAGACTTGACGAAGGGGAGAAAAGATGTGCTGCAAACAAAGATTTTTCATATACAATTCTGCTATGACCTTAACCTTAGACCTTGAAACATAGTTCAAGGTCATTGCACATCCTTTAAAAGAGATTTTGGACGGACACACTTATTTCTTTAGGTCGTCGCAGAGAGGCGGCCCTTAAAAGTTTTATAGTCTACAGTCACGTTTCTGAATCGCAAAGACATTTTATTAAACGAAATAGAATTTGTGCTTTGATGTCCATCTCATATTATAGAAAATAACTTAAACTGCACTATCTGCTTGAATAAATTTTCGATCACTAAAATCAACTTCAATTTTACCGACAGAAAAAAAAAACCAGAACCGTGCCTCATTGCACATGTCTTGGGAAGTACTAGTAACGAATCTGCACGCATGCACAAATGTTCATAGTTATGTATCACATCATTTCTTTTGCTTTTAAATTTAATCATTTAATTCAAAATCTTATCATTTTGAAAATCGATCATATCTAAAAGAAGTATATATTCCAAATGAAATCACAAATCGATCATATTCACTGGAAACGTTGTCGCCATTCTTGGGTCTTCAGGCACTTACATCGATTTGTGCATGATTTCTTTTTTGGATATTACTGCTTCAGTGCGGTCGACAACATTTTGATGGTTTGGAAGCAAAATTGAAAAAAGCTAAAAAAAAAAAAAATTCATACGAGGGTTGTTAAGATTTCTTAAAAGAAAGCTAAATGTTGCTTAACTTTCATAAATCAAAGACTTACTGAGATAAAAAACAAAAAAAAAACCTTTCAACTTGTGTGTATAATATTATTTCTCAAGTGAGTCATTTGGTTCATTAAAACACCATGTTATTTTTCTCTGATAAATCAAGTTGTGTTTTAATACTCTTTTTACATTGAACTCACCAGGTTTCAATGAAGATATTATATATGGGGGGAAATGAATTTATTAATAATATTCAGTTTCAATAAAATTGAAAAAAGTAATACGTTGCTTGTCGACATAAATAAGTTGCATGTCAACATATTTATCTCGCATGTCAACATACCTAAGTTGCATGTCAACATAAATAAGTTGCATGTCAACATAAATAAGTTGCATGTCAACATAAATAAGTTGCATGTCGACATAAATAAGTTGTATGTCAACATAACTAAGTTGCATGTCAATATAACCAAGTTGCATGTCAACATAACCAAGTTGCATGTCAACATATTAATCTTGCATGTTAACATAAATAAGTTGCATGTTAACATAAATAAGTAAGATCTAGCATGTTGGATGTCACATGTGGGCGATATTTGAGATTTTTGGAGATTTTTTATAATTTTTATTTGATTGCAATTTTCTTGCATGTCAACATACATGTATCTATATTGCATGTTGACATAACTATCTTGCATATCAACATATTTAACTTGCATGTCGACATATTTGATAGAAAAATAACTTGCACACAAGGGGCAGAAATATGCCACCATAAATAAGTAAATTTACCCATATTTGAATTATATTTCCAAATAAGATTGGTATCTTGCATGTCATCATGATTAACTTGCATGTAGACATAAATGTGTTGCATGTCAACATAATTACATTGCATGTTAACATAATTTATCTTGCAGGTTTGTAAGGGGCAGAAATATGTCACCATAACCTAATGATAAAGTAGAAAGGTCCAATTTGAAAAAAGAAAAATATTCCGCTTCAAAGAAAAAAAAGACAAAGACTTGAGATTTTGCCTTTTATTAAATTGAAAATAGTTGAAAGTACAGAATATTCTATTCCATATAATTGTTGTGAGCTGTACTAAAACAAATAAAAAATTATAGGAAAGTCTAAATGATGTCGGGAAAACATTTTATACAAATCTAATACATAAAAAAAAATCTGTATTATATAGTCTGTATATTTTTAGCAAAGTAGGAAAAATATTTGATAAGAAAATATATATTAGATCCCTTTATGGTTAAGAATAAGATCTTTCAACACACAAAGGAATATTATAATGGTAACCTATAATGGACAACTTTTTTTGCTTATCGTTTCTTGCTTTTTCTTTTTCTTTAATCATATAAGCTAGAAATACAAAGTGTTATAGATCAAAAAGTGTGAAAGAGGATTTAGAGAAAAGGGGATGGAAAAAAAAGAGTTGCAAAAAAAGAGGAATAACCTTCAAAATTTTTCATTTTAAAAAATGAAAATATGATTAAAAAAATATTCATCATTTTCTATCTGTGTCTTCAAATTTCTCAAAGTTACGGCTGTTTAACAGTTAAAAAAAGCAATTTATTTTGGTTAAAAAAAAAACAACTATATCCTTTAACTGCTAATCGCTTATTTTAATAGTTTTGTAAATTTATTTGAAAAAAGAAAGCCAGTGAGTGCTAAGATCAGAATATTATACAAGTGTGATATGTATAAAATATCGGTAAAACAAAAAATAAATCGAAATGTGCACCAGGAAAGTCACTACTGATAAAAAATAAAGCACTCGGGTATTATTTTTCCTACAATATTGCATCTCTGTAAATATATTATAGAAAAGAATATTTAATCTTGCAAATTAAAAAAAATGCATTGTACAAAGCTAAACAAACAGATTATTTAAAATACATCCATGAGTAAAAAGAAACTGTATTAAATTTTGCATATTTTAAAAAAAATGGAAAAAAAGTAATCGATTTGTATCCCATGAAGGCAAAGGGTCACCGTTATTCACTGACTCTTAACATATCCTTCATCATTATTTTCTGTGGTCCTGCATAAAGAAAAACAGAAAAAAATATGTATATAATAAAACAAAAATTATCAATATTCTGTTGTATAATACATATGTCAAAAGAAAATTAGATTTATCCATAACTGCATGTATAATATATAATCTAATCTCGTACCAACCCGCATTTATAGCCCGATAGATGTTTTAAAATGATACCTTATTACTTATTGACATTTGTGAGTTATTCATACTATATATTTGCCTTTTTGTTACTTTTATCGTGTGAAATGCATTATTTTTCAAACTCAACGGCAAGTATGTAATCTGCTAAACGCGCGTCGACCTTCTATGACGTCACTGAGAAATAACGTCAAACGGTTATCCATACTCACATTTATGACCTCTTGACCTTATAACTGTATAAATAAATTATAGATTCGCATTCCTGTCAATAGTGTTATATAAAGGAAAACATTTGCATTATATATATATGTAAGACTCTAAAGTGCGATGGTGACGCCAAAGTCCGATGGTCTCGCCAAACCCCGATGGCCTGCGCCAAACCCCGATGGCTCGCTGTCTTTACGGACCCCAAAGTCCGATGCTCACACCAAAGTCCGATGGCTCGTTGCCTATGAGACACGCGCCGCTAAAATGCGATGGTCTAACACGAAACACGCAATGTAGTGAACACTTTGATTCTTGTGGCAAAGGACATTTTTATATATTTCCTTTTTACAAAATAAAAGAGGAAAATGAACAATTACGGAAAGCCAAAGAACAATATTTTATAAATCTGTTTAAACCAAAATTGAACTGCTAAAAGGAATTTATATCAAATCATTTTATTATGTACATTTTATAAAAAATGTCTCCATTATTGTACATTTATAATAGGCGCTTAACTTTGATCAGATGAACTGTGAAACTTTATCTGTGCGCCTCATTTAACTGTGATTATTATTACGTCACAATCATTATGTTTAACGTTGCCTACATACATGTAACGTCACGAGAATGACGTCATAATGTAACTTGTTTACAATTTCAAATCTACTGATGAGCCTGCATGGGGCGAAAGCGCTTTAGATAAAATTTTGAGTTTATCATTTGAATTTGGATATATATATATATATATATATATATATATATATATATATATATATATATATATATATATATATATATATATATATATATATATATATATATATATTGCAAATGTTTTCCTTTATATAACACTATTGACAGGAATGCGTATCTATTATTTATTTCTTTTTCTTTCTTTTGCTCCAACAATGGCACTGAATATTATATATATTATATATATATATATAAACAAAAACTTCATTGTTGAAGAAATTGATATAAAAGAAATTGTTAATACCTCCAAATCTTCTAAGCGCATTTCAATCCGAGTTATCTCTTTGGTGTACATTCTGCTGGCTGGGACAAATTCATCAACGACTGCTTGAAGCTCCTGTTCGGTAGTTTCCAGATGTTTTCTTTCTTTTGCTCCGACAATGGCACTGAATATTAGATCAACGCCTAATACAAGGACACCAAGCACAAGGGCTCCAATCCAAAGTTTACAAAAAGCCCTTACGATCTGATTCAAAGCCATAAGTACTGTTCGAACAACAGAGTAAGCTAAGATTATTGTTTGAGCAACCAGATCAACCACCTTGCCAGAAATTCGCAATTGTCTGTAAATGCCGCTTAACTCCAACTCATCATTTTCAAGCATTTCATACAGGTAAGGGTCAATCTTATGTTTATTTATTTTTAAACTGTCCTCTAGCTTGCTCTGTATTTCTGCTATCTTCCTATGGAAATTCTCTGCATTTTCTTTAATTGTCTTATCTTTGTAAAATATCAGATGTGCGATGTCAGCTCCGAGTTTAGTATGCATAATTTTGATAAGATCATTTGTTGAATCAAAATTTCCTTTCATTGCGGAATATATTTCCTGAGAAAGTCTCACGCAATTATCTCGCCTTTGCTGATTTCCAGGGTAAAGGACTTCAATAAACGACATGCTTCTTTTTAGGCAGACAGAGTAGAACGAGCATATTATCTGTGTATGCTACTGCTTATATGTGCTTGAAACAAAGTGCTTAAATCTAAGATCATCCAATCATGTTAGCCAATTGAATTCCGAAACGCCCACTTATGCCTTGTATAATCTTAAATATAATCGGCGTCTCAAACTATATGCTCTCATTCTAAAGGTGCATGCCAAACGCATTATGGATAAGAAATCAGGGATATTTTCCAACGTCGTTCATTGGTTTCGTTCATGGGGACCATGGATTAGAGAATCGTGGCCTGTTATGTGGATTCTTGAGGGTAAAATTGAACAAAAACTTCTTATTGCAAGACAATCACAGGAACTTTATGATGTTTTTAATTCGCTTTTCCGTTCATTTGCAAGCATTGAAGCTGCAATAGGAGAATGTACCAATCGAAATACCCATCCTCTTATTATAGATGAAGAAAAGATGAGGATGCAGACAGTTTTGGAAATCCTCATACAAAATCTACGAGAAAAACAGAATGCCTTTCCGGAAAAAATGGAAGAAAGCTTTGAAGGAATCTCAAGAAATGTAACACCGAATTCATTGCGTCTCCTTTTGGATGAAAATAAAAGCCTTGGACAAAAACTAAGAATCATCAAGAAAACGTACCCACCAGACGTTCGGGGAAATGTGATAGTAACCCTCGCGTTCAATTTTGATCTTGCAATTGGGAAACTTCTCGCCAGGTTACAAAATGTAAAGACTCTTGTTAGCGAACTAGATTTAGGCAATATGAGTCTACAGGATTTGAGGTCAGGGGAAACTAAACATCTTGGATGGAAGAGTGATGATTTTCAGTTTGGAAACAAATTGCTTGGCGAACTAGAGAAGGTACTTCAAGAGATGCAGCCCATTAGTGATGACTTTAGCTTAAGGGTTTCTAAATTAGCGACAGCTCTAGAGGACAGGAATATTGACTAATCAAACAATTATTCATTTAACATGCTAGAGGATGCATATGTTTATTTAGAGACCTTTTTATTCCTTTTTCATATCATGGAAAGAATTGATTTGTTATTGAAAGTCACAAATGCTTAGATTACAAATAAACGTGTTTCGTTTATTTTTTTTAGTGCTCATCTTCTTTTCCAAAGTTTTTCGCAAGAAGATTCTTCAAAACTACATTTTTTACATACTTTGGTCGAAATGGTTTCTTTATGGCATTTGTTTAGCCGGAACATAGTAGGATGTCCTTTCTTTAATAGTGTTTATTTGGAATGAAAGCAATCTCCAACCTACCCAAATGAGGGTAGGGCGAAAGGGGAGAAAATAAAACGAGGGCAAAAATTACCCTGTATACAGTATTTAAAACTGATGATTGGCAAACTCAGATAAGTTATTTTACTGGTACGAGTGTTGTTAAAAAACATAACAAAGTACCTGATTTATCTATTTATGCACATCTCACTTGTGAGCATCCTAAGAAAATTAAAAATTGATTGCAACAATAACTATTTTACTTAAAACAACATGCATTTCAAATATACGAATGTCACTTCGGATGAGATCTAAGAATCGAGGTCCCTTTTCATTTTTGAATTTGACACGATAAAGGTACCTTATTTCTAAATAGCAATGAATGCCAAGTAAACGTCAAATTTTGAAGCCGGTCACAGCTATGTGGCGATGTCTCTATATTGCTGGATTGTTCTCGATTGGGCAGAAAAAACTAACATATAATCAATTAATCAATCAAAAATAGGAGACGTGTGATATTGACATACAATTTAGCGGATTTAAACATTCATAGCTCAACAGTCGAATCGAGGGTGATAGATTCTGGTCATTGGCTTACATTAATCAGGTCAGGAGGGTTATATAGATGCTCAAAAACATGTCATTAGCTTTACACGTGTACTGTTTTGACAAATTGCCAGAGAGTAACAAAACAGAAAAAGAAACCTTGTCAACCTGTCATAATGAAAGACCGAATAAATACCCTATTAAAACGGTGTTGCCTTGCAAATATGTGCCGAATAAATATGCCCTATTAATACGGTGTTGCCTTGCAATTATGTGCCGAATAAATATGCACTATTAAAACGGTGTTGTCTTGCAATTATGTGCCGAATAAACATGCTCTATTAAAATGGTGTTGCCTTGCATATTTGGTGGAAAAGGAAGAAATTTAACAGAAACTCTTATACATACTTTCATCAGAATAATATCTCCATCCCTTTTCATAAGAAATATCTGAAGTGTAGATTCTCCGATGAGTACGACATTTCCTTATTTCTTTATTGTATCCAAATAATCCACAAACGTGTTTACAATACCAAGAACATTCGAAAGGTGATTTACTTTTATACTCCCCTATAAGTTCCCTATTTGACTTTTTGTCCTTAAATTTGAATTCGGCAACGTATTTTCGATAAAAATCAAAGGCATGAGGCATCGTAAAAAGGAAAACAGCCAAAACCTTCCACCAATATCTGCACATATTTCAAAAGGCGTATAGCACAAACTACATATAACACGGTCTCTAATCAATTGTAGAATATATTTTCCAACTTAACGATCAGCATTCATTCAAATACCATATGCATTAGACTGATTAATAAGCAATTATATATTTTTTTACTTAATTTACTATCTCTGACGTATAAAGTATGTAAAGTGGCATGATTGGCTAGATGTTCCATGTATATAATGTAATTTTCATTGCTGAAATACTGGTATTGAATTTGTGGACAAAATTGATTAAATGCAAAACAAGAATGAAAATGAAATGCTATAATTTGTTTTAGGTTCGGAGCATTTCACGCCGTTTTTTCTTATGTTTTAATCATAGACTGCTTTGACTTCCTGACTATATTATATATATATTGTACGTCATGAAGGTTTTCATACAAACAGTTTGTACTTTTTATGTATTCAGTCGATTGATTGATTGATTGTATACTGTTTAACGTCCCTCTCCAGATCATTTCACTGATATGGAGACGTCACAATTGTCGGTGAAGGGCTGCAAATTAAGGCTGATGCTCGGCACTTTTGGCCTTTCAGCAGGGAGGGATCTTTATTGTGCCACACCTTCTGTGACACGGGACCTCGGTTTATACGGTCTCATCCGAAGGACCGCCCCATTAAGTCGCCTTTTACGACAAGCAAGGGTGTACTGAAGACCTATTCTAACCCGGATCCCCACGAGATGTCTAGCAGTCGAAGTTTATATCAATATTTTTCTTTCAATATGAAACATATGCAGATAACGAACAATGTTCAAGCTCAAAATTATCATTAAACAATCGAAATAAAAACGAACCAGTGAAACATCAACAGTGGAATCAGGTGGAATGATGGGGTAAATATTATCTGCTATTGATAGTGTGCTCTTTTATTTACTACAAAAGTTGACTATATTTTTTTTTCTTTTTACTTTAAAATAGCAGTGGCGAATTAAGGAAGCAGACGGACAACCCTCCAACCCCTCTTTTGTGTCAGGATATACAAATACATAAGATTAATTTCTTAATTTTAGAATATGACTGTGGATCCCCTAACTTAAACTGCACCCCCACTCCCTCTCCGAAAAAAAAAAATCAAAATTTCTTGATCCACCACTGACGAGCGTTGTGTAACCAAGCTTTTTATCAAGAATTTTAATCCCAATTTACAATTGATATCAGGTATTATTTTATTTTAAATTATACATATAACATTTATTTAACATAACTTTTTAAAACGAAGTATAGCGTTCATAAACCTTTTTTGTACAATCATCATTGTCTGTAGGGCACAAACTGTTCGTGGATCTCATGGGTCACCCTTACCCTAGAATACACATACCAGCGAAAATTTATTTTGTTTACATATTGATTCATTCAACAATCGTATTTACGAGTCATCCACTAAATTACACCCCAAAAAACAAGTTTGCCTACCCACTAGCATTGCTCCAAAGAATCTAAATGATTCCACAGCATATTTCTCTCAAAAGCCTGAATCCAAATTATGGAGTTTTAAAAGTTTTTAAATGAGAGTGAGTCAGAAATATTAGAAATCATCGATTTTAGATACATTTCGTTATATTCTTAAATATACACTAGAAATTACATGTAATTATCTCTTAATTTCATGGGATACACTGCGGTCTCACTTTTCATTTTAAGGGTGATTAATTCCATGTAGAAATCTTTTAATCAATCGTCAATTATTGTTTTCAGAAATTTAAGCAATTTCGCGATTATGAGTACTCTGGAAACATAACTACATGTATGTACTGTATATAAAATTTACAGATTGCCTTGCACATATCAAATTTAAAATTGAACTCAATATAAACCTTTAATATGCGGTTTTGTCTTAAGAAACATAATTATTTCTTTGTTGTTGCACTATCGCGTTCCTTCACTACTGGACGAAAAAAGTGCTGAGAATCCCAAATTTTACTGATATTGTTTGATAATTACTGATACGGTGCTGTTCTTGCTGATAATTACTGATATTCACCGTTATTATTACTGTTGTTGCTGATAATTTTAGCTGTTGCTGATAAATACTGATAATTACTGTCGTCTTTTACTGTGGAGTCTGATAAATGCTGATAAATACTGTTGAGGTACATGTACTGTCGCTGCCGAGAATTACTGATAATTACTGTGGTAATTGTTTTTAACCTGGGAATGGATTAAAATAGCCTGAGAAATGATTATTTGTTTTTTTTTATGTATTTTAACAAATTCATTACAGTCAATTACAAAATAAATTGTTCAAAATAAAAAAAGTCACGATTTATCAATTTGTTTTCAGTTTTCAGCTATTAATTTCATTATAATAATGTTAACATAAGCTTTCATTAATGTCGCGGTTTATGTTTTTTTTTTCTTTAAATTTCTCCTTACACGTAGATGACATTATCTGAGGAAAATTATTCTATTGTATTTGCAGCTGCTTTTTTTCCCAAGTACTTTTTTAAAAAGTTTAATATTTGTTCATAGAGGTTAAAAAAATATCTCATTTTTTTTTTTTTACATGTCTGTGTACTGTCATCAAA